CTCCTTCTCCAGCTCCAGGGTCTGGTACCTGGTGTAGGTCTGGCGGCCGCGTTTTCTGTCGGTGCCTGGGAAATAAATGCAGATTTAGGTCATCTGGGGGTTTGGGGGAGATGTTTTTGGGGCTGCCGGTTTGGTTTGCTCGCTTGCTTTTGCCTTTGGCTGCAGCCTAGCAAGCACCCATCCATTCCAGTTAATAACCACGGGTGGACAAAATCGTCGGAGGAACTGTACAACCTGGGACAGCCCTTCTTTTTATCGACTCGTTCTGCTCGAGGCTTTCCCCCACCTCAGCCTCCCTGTTCTCAGCCCCCAAACCACCCCAGCTTTAATTTCCCTTCATCTAGGAAAAGCGTGCAGTGCTGCTTTGTGTGTGCGTGTCTCCGAGTGAACAACAAACTCCCAAAAGTTTCCTGCCCTCGCAGCAGCGCTCAGACTCTGAGCTCCTGCTCCAATTTTTATTTAGACACCAGAAATTTCGGATGGTTGGGGAATAAATGCAGGAATACAGACGAGCGAGAGAGGCATCTGCTACCTACACAAATCCAACTATTCGTCCTCTCTTAAAGCTGTTATCAGGGCGCCTGGCTTGGAAGGTGTGTGACGGTCTTTAATTATTCCAGGGGATGTTTTGGGCACAGCAGTGACTTCTGGGGCTGACAGGGGGGCTGCTACCCCCGGGCTGCTCTCGCGGGGCTGCGCGCAGATGAGAAGCGCCTCAACACCTACCCCCGGCTCCCCGCCACCCTCCAGCTGCCTGCGAGCGGGGCTTGGAAAGGGCCCAGCTCCTAATTCTCCCCTCCACCCGACATTTCCTGGAGTCTGATTGGAAATAATTCTACAATATGGTGTTTGTGATCCTGACTCTATTTTCTATGTAAATGCTATGTATATCTGTAGCAGAATGCATTCTTTCCCGGAGCGGTGGGGATGGCGAACAGCAGCCCTCGGCCTCTCCACACATTCCACCGGACTCCTCTTCTCTTCCCTCCCGCCCCCCCCCCCCCCCCCCCCTTTTTTTTAAAAAAAAAAAAAAACCACCCTT